GATGAACGATTTAGTTAAACTACCAGAATTAAACAAAATTATGATCGGCGATGGGTTCAGAAATGACCAAAGCAGGTATTATGGAAGAAATGATTAGCGATGCATTCAATATTGGTAACGAAGAGCTCGAAGAAGAAGCTGAACTTGAAGTTAATAAAATTATGGACGAAATTCTTACTTCAGGTCCATCTGTTTCAACTACAAATCCATTAGGAACAGAACAAGTAGAGGTAGAAGAAAAAGAAGATGACAGTGAATTACTTTCACGTTTAAATGCCCTAAAATCATAGACACAAATATTAAATAATTTTTAAAAACACTATTTATTATATTATAATATTATAAACGATAACAACAATCAATCTTATTTACCACTCACCCTTCTTCACTGTATAAATACACTTTTAAAAAAATATATATAATAATTTATTTTATATAATAATTTATATATTCTAAAATAAAATATAAAAAGATTATTATTTATTATAACAAATAATAAATAATAAAAAAATATACAAATGTTTTTTTTTTGTTTTTTTTTTTTTAAACTATAAAACTTTTATAAATGTGAAAAAAAAAAAAAAGAGTTATTTTATTTTTTATTTTTTATTTATTTATTATTTAATATTGTTTATCAAATTCATTTCTATGAATAAATGTAATACCTTCATTGTGAAGTGCTTTAATCATTGGTTTATAGTATTCTTTTGAAACTGGTCTGATGGCACCTCTTTCTTTAACTTGGCCTTCAAGTAAAAGCTCAGTAGCAATAGCAATTGGTAAACCAACTACAGTACCAACAGCAGATTGATCTTTTGAACCATAGTAAACAAGAGTTGAAGTTTTGGTTTCGTGTTTACCACCTTCCCATTCAATACCAATGATATTGTGTAAAATGATTAAATCTTTTTCTGATGGTAAAAGACTTAATTTGGTTTTGAGGAGTTCTGTGAATGCATCGAAAAAGTTACCCTCTAATTTAACATTAATCTCTTCAGAGAAAACACCTAACCAATCGAAAACTGAAAGAATGTGTGTGATTTTATCATCATCATATCCTTTTGATGGATAACCTCTTCTGGTTCTAAGTTTTCTTCTTAAAAGTTCTTGGGTTGGAATGCCATCGGCTAATGGAGATGGTAAAAGGGTACGCATAGCATGATTCCATGATAATGGTGATGATGATGGTTGGAGATGAGTTTTGGATGTGGTATCGAGAAGACCGATTTCAACAGCAGCTTCCATAACTGAGCAAAAACCTCTATAACGAATGGTACCACGGAAAAGTGTGCTTACATTTTCAATATCATAAGCTTTGGCTAAAAAGAGACAATCTCTATTTGGAACACCTTCTAATGAAAGAGCTGGGAAAATATCGACTGGTTGGAGTCTCTTGTAAACTTCTTGGCCAGAGATGAAAATATCTTGACCATCACGACGGAATTTAGAGTCATTAGTAACACCTGAAATAATTTCTTTTGGTGACCATGTGAATTTATAACCAAGTGGATTATCAGATGACTCTGGTGCTGGGAGACCACCACACCATGAAACGAATGATCTAATTTTACCACCCTTACTCTTGACATCGTTGATAACTCTTGAGGCTTCTAAATGATCAATACCTGGATCTAAGCCCATTTCATTTAATAAGGTAACACCAGCTTCTTTAGCTTGTTCATGAAGAGCTTCCATTTCTTTGCTTAAATAACTTGGACAAACCATATGTTTCTTATTACGGAGACATGATTCAGCTACTAAAATTGAAAGTTCGTCTGGTAATAAACTTGCAATAACTTTGAATTTTGAAACAAGTTCATCTAATGCTTCTTTGTTATGAACATCAATAACGACTGTTTGAATATCTGCGTCTGGTTCGACTGATGCTGCTTTTTTGGCTTGATCTAATGAAATATCACCAATTGTAATCTTGTGAGATGGATTTCTAGTTAAATATGAAATGGTTGAATAAGATACTGAACCAGCACCTAAAACTAAAATTCTTGAAATTAACTCCTCTCTCTTCTTTCTTAATTCGGTAATATATTCGAATGGTTTAGTTAATGAACCATGTGCTGTAATAACGGCTCTTTTAATTTCTGGTGCAATATCAGTCATCTTATCATATGGTAAAGTTGGGTCTGATTTGACAACAGCTTCAATGAATTTTGATAAATGGTCACCAAACCATTGAGTGGCTTCTTTTGGGAATTCTGTTGGTAAATTGTCAACAGCCAAGAATAAAATACCATCACGGTACATATATTGTTGATCTGTAGTTGGGTCGTGGACTTCTTGAGTTTTTGGATCGTAAATGTAAAGTGGTGAATCGATTGAAGTGGTGGTCATTAAAAACTCTAATGAACCATTAATATCGGCAGAGATATCAGCAACACCAATTAATCTTGTGTTATTATTTTCGACCATTTCTTCCATTTGACGAATGGTAATTAAACGTGGATATTTAGCATCCCAGTACATACAATTAATAATACATGAAATATATGGAGCATATTTTTCAACAAAGATTGGTTTATAGGTATGTGGTTGTGAATAATAATCTTTTTTATCAAATTTCTTGGTTGGATCAATTGGTGCTACCATATGTTCAGCTGTAATAATTGTACCATATAAAATACCTCTTTCACCCTCTAAATTAATTAATTGTAATAAATATTAATATTTTTTTTTTTAATATTGTGAAAACGTGAAATATAAAACTTACTTTTATTTTTAACTAAATCTACCATTTCGTCTGGGGTAACCATTTTGTGTGGGAGTAATTTAAAGATTTTAAGTGCACCTTGAGCTACAGCACCATCAGAGGTAAATGCAAATGTAAATGGTAAAAGGTCATCTGGTAAACCAACTTGTGAAATTTCTTCACCAATAGCTTTAACAGCCTCCATAGCACTTTCAAGTTTAGAATATACATATGAATAACCAACATGCTAAAATAATAAAAATAAAAAAATTAATATTCAAGTTGTAAAACCTTTATATATTGATGATTACTTACTAAGAATGGAGTTGAAAAACCTTTGGCTAATAAACGATCACCTAAAGCATGAAGCATATCAATCATACCAGCATAACCAGCAAAAGAACCGAAACGAACCAATCTTCTATTATTTTCATCAGTAATACGTTCATAATCAATTAAACGAATACGTTTTCTGTTGATTTCATCTAACATTGGCATATTGTATGGTTGAGCTTTGATAGTATGTGAAAAGAAAATATAGGTTTTATCTTCGTATAAATATTCACTTGGAACTTCTTTGACGGCAGCAATGACATCACATTCCTTTAAATCTTCTTGAATGATTGCACCTGCACGTTCATATAAAACATTTGGATAATTTCTGAGTGTTGATGGTTGTACAATAACTTTAATACCTTTTTTAACCAAATCTTCGACATGAGATGGAGCCAAAGGTGCTCTTCTTTCCCATCTATTTTTATCCTCTCTTCTAATACCCAATGAATAAACTTTTGTCATTCTTTATTGATAATAAAAAAAGTAAAAGTAAAAGTAAAAAAAATTAATAAATTATAAAACTATTATATTAAAAATGTTAATTGTAGTTGTAATTGTAATGTATATTGATTTAAAAAAAAAAAAATTACAGTTTTTAAAAAAAATTAATTTAAAAAATTAAAAATAAAAATAAAATAAATTAAGCTATTATTTTATTATAATATTAAAATATTAATTTTTACACATTTAAAGATTTTCTTTTTAAAATAATAAATAGAATTATCTGTCATTATTTACCTTGTGTGTTTATCGTGTGTGTTTGTAATATCAAAAATAAAAAAATAAAATAAAAATATAAAAAAAAAAATATTAAAAAAAACAAAAAAAAAAAAAATATTTTAAAAAAAAAATAAAAAATATAAAATTTTAATTTAATTTAAAATTTTTTTTTTTTTTCGCTATCATCATCATAATCCCAGACCTTATGGAAATTTCGGCTTGAAAAAAAAAAAATTAATTTTTTTAAGTAATTTTAATTTTTTATCAAAAAAGAATAATTTTTTTTAGATAATTATTATAATAATAATTCAAATTTTTAGAAAAAAAAAAAAAAATTAAAAAATAGTTTTCATATGAAAAATAATAAAAAAAAAAATTATTATAAAATAATTTATAAATAACCACAAAATTTTTTTTTTATATTAAACGAAACAAATAATATTATAACTCTATGTGGATATAAATATCAACTTTAAAAACTTCACAATATAATATCTTTAAAATAAAACATTATAATAATGATAATGATAATAATTAAATTTTTGTGAAGATATGGTTTACCTCTAAAAAATTTCCAAAGCCTTTATCAAATTTTATTAGATACCATCAAAATCAATATTGAATTCAAAAAGAAATGCTCAACACTCAACATGAGATTATAAAAGATATTAAAGGAGCATAGTCCATGTATGGAAAAGATCTACCAAAAGGTTTATTGAATTAAAAAAATAAAATAATAAATGACGATTTTTATTTTTTATTTAAAGTTTAAATTTTATTTGTAACTGTTTCTTTTTTTTTTTGGGAATTAATATTTTCCCACTTCACCAAAGATCTCGTTAAAAGTGATTTTTAAACAGTTAACTGTTTGAATTAATTATATTAACAAAAAAAAAATGTCATCAACCTTACAACAAACTTATTCATATTTAGAACAAATATTACCAATTATTAAAAAAGAAATAGGAACCGTAGATACTGAAATTAAATATCAAAAAGAAAAAATTGATAATGTTTCAAAATTATTAAAAGAACTAACATCAAACATAGTTGAATTTGAAAATCAAATACAGCAATTTCAAAATAACCTAAATCAATACTCTGAACAAAAAGCAAAAGATGAATCAGCCATAAAGGATCTCCAAGATGAAATTGATAAAAGTAGTGAGGAAGCTGCAAGACTTCAATCTGAAATCGATAGATATCAAAAGATGATGGATGAATTAGCAGAACTTGACCCTTTGGCTGCAGAAATAACAAGTATAATTGAAAAGATCAGAGGTGATTTCGACCAAATAACAAATAAAATTAATTCATTAAAAGAAAATATTAATGCTTTAAATACTTCATTAGAAAAAACCCAAGCGGATGAAGATTCATTAAATCAAAAAATTGAGTTAGCAAATATACATAAGATCCAACTACACAGACTTCAAGATGGAAAAAATCAAAATATTAAACAATTGGGCATAGAGAGAACCAACGATGAAAACTATAGACTTGATTTAATGAATCTTAAAGATAAAATAGAAGATATTTCAAAACGTATAGAGCTAGGAAAAGAATTTAAAGATGATTCTTTGGTTTCAAAAGAAGAAATCCAAAAGGAAATAAAAGATCTTTACACAAAACATCATAGGAAAGTACCAAATGGTGTATTAAATTAATAAATAAATAAAAATTTTATTTTCTTTTTTTTCTTTTAAAAATATAAGAAGTTTTTTTTTTTTCTCAAAACCTTGACATTAAAAAAAAAAAATAAAAAAAAAAATAAAATAAAAAACTTCAAAATAAATTTTAATAATTGATCAAGATTTGAATAAAAAAACAGTTCAATAAAGAAATGTCAACATATTATTGAAATATATAAAAACAGATTTAATCTCTATTTTTTTTATTAATTCAATTAATTAAATTATAATAATTAATAATATTTAGGTCTATAATTATATTGTTGTTTGAAATAATTCTTATTTATTAGATAAAGTTTAAAAAATAGAACGATGAATTTATATTTGAAAAAATAGAACAATAAGTTTATATTTTATTTTATTTTTTTTTTATTTTTATTTTTATTTTTTTTTGTAAAACTTTTTACTTTTATGAATTTAATAATAAAAAAAACTATTTAAATATAATTTTAATTTTGTTTTCATAATATTTTTATTTATTAAAATATTACAAACAATGCAAGAAAAATCAAGAGTGTTCAAATGGGACATAAACGATTTTAAAGAAAAATCATTTAAAAAACCAACTTTAAACTTAACATGGGATTATAAGTTCAATCCTCACTATGACGAAATTTTAATTAATGAAAATATAGAATGGTTGAAAGGAACAAAATTATTTTCTAACGAGTCAGACTATGAAAAGTTTATTTCATTAAAAACTAGTTATATGAATGCCTATTTATACTCCCATGGTAATAGAGAAGTATTTAGATATGTAAGTGCCTATTTATATAAAATATTACATAAAATACAAATTATTAATGATGATTTAATAGATTAATAGATTGAATGAATATATTTATATTATTGATGATCTTTATCTAGAAGATAGTGTATATGGCCAAGAATGGGTAAATCAATTGTTTGATAGAAATTCTAAACTCTTTAAAGAGGACCATGGTTCTTCATTTTTGTGGCAAATATTTGATGATATCAGGTCAGCAGGAAACTCAGAGGCCACTGATTATCTAATTAAAAAAACAAAAGAATGGATGGATTCAGTAATATTATTCAATAGCAAAGAAGTTCACTCAAACTATACCTTTGAAGAGTATTCAAGTTATCGTGGTGTAGAGGTTGGAATGATTTTTGCATTAGCTTGTACCAAGGTCCATTTACCACCATTATGTGATGAAATTGAAAATCATCCTCTCTACATAGAATTGCTTGGGAAATACTTTAATTCAATCCAGGTATTAATCAATGATATTCATTCATTCAACAAAGAAATAAAATCTTCAAGATTAGGAAACTATGTAAAGATAGCAGCATATCAATTAGGTTCAATACAATCAGCAATGGATCATTCACAAAAAATATGCAATGATTATATTGAAGCTATGGAAGAAAAATGTTTAGAGCTAGAGAGTATTTTCCCAAATAACAAAGATCTAGAAACCCATCTTTATCTTATTAAAACAATCATTGCCGGTAACTACTATGGTTCAAAAGATCCAAATTATCCTCGTTATAATGGCACTGTTTGTGAAGCTGATTATAAATAAATCAATTTATAATAAACCCTTTTTAAAGAAAAAAAATAAAAAATAAAAAAAAATAAAAAAATAATAAAAAAATAAAAAATAAAAAAAAAAATAAAAAAATAAAAAAATAAAAATAAAAAAAAAAGTAATTTATATAGAATTGTTTAATTATTTAATTATTTTTATAGTATATTTATTTAAGTATATTATTTATTATTTCCTTTTACTAAATCCACATGTTTTCTATTTTGATAATATAAAATAGATTTTTTTTTTGTGTTTTTTATGGTTTGAAAAGTTATAATGAAATTCACAAATAGATTTTATAAAAAAAAAAACAAATATAGTTTTATAGAAAAGATTTTTTTTTTAAAAAAAACATTAGCCTTTTACCCACCCTTATTAAAAATTTAATATTAAAAATTAAAATTTCCACCAACGCTGAGAAAAAAAAATCGTTAATGATTAAAATTTGCCTCTAAACCAAATTATCATCCAAATATCTTTTCATATTTTTTGGTTGAAATTAATAAATAATAAATAAATTAATAAAAAAATATAATATATTAATAATAATATTATTAATAATAGTAATTATAAAATATTATAAAATTATAAATAATAATAATAATAATATTATATTAAATAATATTAAAAAAATAAAAAAAAAATATTATAATAATAATATTGTTTATTTTTCTGTTTTAGAGTGTTTTTTTTAATCCTTTCAGGGGAATCTCTTCGTTTTTAAAAAAAAAAATAAAAAATAAAAAAAATTTAAAAAAAATAAAAAAAAAGATTTTTACCGTTATTCATTCTAGATATTATCATAATTTGGTATCAAGCTTGTAAAAAAAATCTATCTTAGCTATGTTTTTTTATAAAATTTATTTTTTTTTTTTTTTATTTTTTATTATTTTATTTTTTCCCACCTGTGTTTATCTGCGAGTATATTTATTTTATAGTTTGTGGTTTATCATAATAATAAAATTTTAAATTTCATCCAGACAATAAATAAAAAAAAAAAAATAAAAAAAAAATAAAATCATTTTTGAACACTCGTAAACAAAAAAAAAAAAAAAGCATATATTATAAATATATATCATTATATTAACAATGATGATATATAAAATTTTTATTATAATAATTATAATATTGATCAATAATAATGATCGGAATAATTTGTTTGTAAAATCACAATTTTTACCAGCATCACCCAATCCAATTGATAGATCCTATCGTTGTGAAAAATATATTGGAAATACGAAATGTGATGGATTTATTTTTGATTCAAGTAAGTATCATAAATAAATAAACATATATATAAATATCAACGATATTTTAAAATCCTTGTTTTGAAAGAAAAATGTTAATTTTTTTATTTTATTTTTATTTTTTAAATTTCTATTTTTTAATTTTATATAGATTCAATTTATGTAAATGATACAGATACTCAAAAATTAGCAAATGATACTGTTGAATTATTATTAAAATTTGCAGGTACCATTGGTAGTTCAGATTGTAAAAGCCTTTCAACAGTTTTATTTGTATGTAATACTTTTTTTAGATCATGTGTCGATGTTCCATTAGATGATGGAAGCAGTTTAGCCTTGCCAATTAAACCATGTTTCGATGATTGCAGTTTATCAACAGGTGCATGCAGTGTATCCGCTTTATTAGATTGCTCAGCTAAATATCCAGCACAAGCAGATCAAGGTGATATTTATCAGTTCCCAAAAACCGAAAATACTTATAATTTAGTTCCCTATGATGGCCAAGCTAATTTCGTTCAACAATGTTTAGATATCGATACAATGAAAGCTGGTTCAAATTCAGGAAACTATATACCAAATAATAATATTACAGGTATTTTCCCAAATGAATGTACAGCGCCATTAATCAAAAGAGTTTCTACCAATAGAAAGGAAGATGAAAAATTAGGTTTTCAATATTTGACACCTGATTCAGATTGTTTAGTGCCATGTCCAATCCCATTCTTTTCAAAAAGTGAATGGAGCTCCTTCAAGCATTTAACTACAGTCTCTGGTTCCATTGCTTTTGTTTGTGTTTTCTTTAATATTTTTACATATGGCTTTTTAAATACAAAACACGATCGTCATACAATTGGTATTCTATGTTTATCATTCTCTTTATGGATTTGTATGGTTTCAGATTTAATTGTCGCCTCAAGTGATGACTTTTCATTGGTTTGCCCAGAACCAGGTAGATTTGCAAGACAACACGATACAAGATGTGCTGCTAATGGTATTATTTTCCAATTTGGTGCTGTAAATACTGTAATGTTTTGGTCGGTTATGGCTTTCGATTTATGGTTGGTTATCAAGAAGTTATCACCATCAAGAAATATGGTAAAATTTTATATTATAGCAATTGAAGTTTTAGCAGTTATATTTACAATTTTACCAATTATTTGGAAACAATATGGTTATGGTTTTGGTGGTGTAGGGTATGTATAAATAAAATATATAATATAGTATAATTTAAATTTATCTAATTATTTTATAAATATTTAGTTGTTGGGTTTTATCTGATGGATGGCAAAATGGTGTATTTTGGATTCCCTTAACAGTTTGTTTATTTATCGGAACATCATTCATTTGTTTAATTTCATTTGAAATTTATAGAATTGTTAGAAATGTTGGTAAAGGAGCAGCGGGTGTATTAAAAGTTAATATTAGACCATTTTTAATTATTTTATTCATCTTTGGTGAATATGTCTATTTATTCATTTACCATTTCTATGTACAACACAATACTACTAAATTTACAAATAATATTAGAGATTGGGTTATTTGTTTACAAAGCAAGGGTTCAGATGAGTTATGTAAAAGACCAGAAACAATTGGATATGCATCTCAATTTATATTTTTATTTTTCCTCCGTTTATTAGGTATCGAAGTATTAATTTTTTATGGTATAAACACAAGAACAAAGAGAATTTGGAAGGAATCAAAACTATTTAATAGTAAATACTTTAAAGCCATCAGAGAAAAATTATCATCAATGTCATCCAAAGGTGCCACATCAAGTACAAAGGGTGCTCAAACTACAACAAATAATTCAGACTATAACACTTCTCAATTAAGTGTAGAGTTATCACAAAATACAAAGGGTTATTACGACATAGAAGATGATTTATAGATAATTGTATATTTAATAAAAAAAAAAAAAAAAAAAAAAAAAACAATATTTTAAAAATAAAAAAATAAATAAAATATTATTATTTGTATTAAATAAATTGGTTTTTTTATTATCTTTAATATTACAATAAATACTTTTATTGAGATATTGATATATAGTTAATATTATTTATTTAAAAAATATTTTTAAAAAAAAAAACAACTTTTGTATACCCTTTTAAATTGTCATTGATTTATTTTACTAAATTTGCATACATTTTCTTTTGTTCATCCGAGATCTTTGATTGTTGCTCATAGTCCTTTGGAATAATAGATTGGGAAATTTTAATAAATTCAGAGAGTGGACACATGCCATCAACTTCTTTATCTTTGCATTCACCAATGTGAACTGGTTTATGATTATAAATAACTTTAACATATTGATGATTGATGAGTTCCTTTTCGTTGGATCTGCCGAATCTTGATGGTGCTTCATAGTTTTTATCTTGGAATAAAAGGTATTCTAAAGCGGATGATGTTACTGGGTGTCTATTATCTTCATACATATCGTAGGCGACTAATAAGGCAGCTAAAGTAGTATCATGGCCAGAGTAGAGGGCTAGTTTTAAATCTTTAACAGATGAGTCATTGACACCTTTAAGATACATTTGTTTATTCAAGTCATTAACGAAACGACCGATACCAAGTTGGGACATCTCTGGGAAAAATCTCATTGATTTGAACTCTTTGGCACTTTCAGCATACATTCTTTCAATAATCTCTGGTGTGAAACCTTTTGGTAATGGTAATCCATTGTTTCTGAAACAATCAAATGAATTTACTAAACCTGCATATGATCTCCAAGTTGGTACATAAAATGCTGTATCAAATTTGCTATCCTCAAAAATCTTTTGAATTTTTTTTGTAAAGTCCTCTAATTTGCTTTTTTTATTTTCTTCAATTACATCTCTATGTTTTTTTAATAATGATTTTAAGAAATTCTTTTAAAATTTAAAATATTAATATTTTTTTATTTTTTTTTTAAATATTAAATATTTAAATACTTACATATCTTGGTGAGGATCTTGGATACATATTCTCATCAGCTTCATTCATAATATAGAATGAACTATGGTGTGGTGATTTTTCTTGATTATCAGAGAATGAACCACCATAAAGTCCATGCATTAATGACTAAATATCATATGATAAAAATAATATTAAAATTAGTATTTAAAATAAAATTTCAAAACAACAATATTAATAATTATAATTACTCTAGCACTTGAAATAGTTCTTTCTCTATTTGTTGATCTAATAAAAATTTGTTTGGAGTTGTAATCTTTATCTAAGAAATGAAGATGATCAATAAATAATTTTTTATATGCTTTACCAACGTTGATTTGATCTTGAATACCCAAGACTGTTAATTGACCCATATTACATTCTGGTCTTTCCTCATCTTTATTGGTAATTAATTGATCTAGTGAATTGCAAATCCACATTGTTAATGGATATCTCTTGGATTCTGGTGTTCTTCTACCATGTCTTGTAATAATTTGAACAAATTTTAAATCGTACTTGTCACTTTCATATTCTTTGTATGGTACATCTGTTGATCTTAATGCTGAATAGGTAAACTTTGGGTCCATATGTTCATTTTTAATGGTTTCAATTTTTTTTCCGATACCACCGGAGGGTTTATTGCTTGTAGTACTACCATCATCTAACCTTGTAGTCATTGAATTTAAAATAAAATTTATCATTATTAAAAACTTTATAAAATTTAATATTATTATTGTTTAAAATTAATATTATTTATAAATAAATGTTGTTGTTATGTTGTAATTAAAAATAAAAAAATGAAATGAAATTTTTATCTTCAAAAAAAAAAAAAAAGAAAAAATAAAAATAAAAATTAAAAAATAAATTAAAAAAAAAAATAAATTAAAAAAAATATTTTCGTTGAAATATATATTTCTTTTTTATAAAAATTAATATATTAATTGATCAATTAATAATTCGAAAATTCCTTATTCCAAATTCTTGTATAAAACTTGGTATTCTTGAGTTTTTTTATTTTTTTTATTTTGAATTATTTTATTGATTTTTGCAAATAAATATGAATATAGTTTTTGAATTATTTTATTTTATTTTATTTTAAATTACACAATTGAAAAAAAAGAAAAGTTTTTGAAAAAAAAACAAATTGGTTAATTTTTTTTTTTGAAATGTATTTATGAGTTTTTTTTTTTTTTTTTTTTTTGGTGAATGATTTATCTTAATGCACACAAAGAACCATAATGGAATTCTGCGTAATGTGATAATAAAAATACTTTATCGTTACTAATTGAAGTTGGAATAATTTCAATAAAAAAACTACTTTGAGATTCAATTGATGAGATAATTGAAATTTTAGATTTAAAGATTTCTGCAGCAGCGAGCAAAGTTAAATGATCACCCCAATTTCCATTTTTCGACATATCGTTACAATAATCTTCCCAATTATTAGTATGGACAAATTGGCATATGGTTGCACCATTTGGTAGGGAGAAGTCTTTGTTCTTTCTTAACCAATCAACGATTGTTTTTCTAATTTCTGAACTATGGTTCAAATCACCATAGATTTGGTCGGATAATGCATGCATTTGGCAATTACCATCACCCGGGATTTCCTTGCTGTTCTTTAATTGGTAGAGTTCTAAACGTTCATTTAAACGTTTTTGAGCGATTTCGACCTCTTTGGATTGAAGAGGGGGATGAAGATTTAATAATACATTGGAGCTGATCAAAGATGAATCATGATTCATATTCTTTTGAACCAAACCTTCTAATAATAAATTATTTTTAATTTCATGGTATTGATCTTGATCTTGACCGCCAATAATATGTGGAGATGAATTATTATTGTTGCTATTATTGACAACTTGTTGTTTTTTAAATTGATCATATTCTTCGATTCTCTTTTTCTTTTCATCTTCGATTGATTTCATTATTTGAATATACCATGATTTATTTCTATAGTGCTCAATATCTTGATCTAATTGAATTTGTGATGCAGCAGCAACTCTATCATTTGATTCATTGATAAAATATTGAATCCAAATATGTGCTTTTTCTTCTTGATCTAATAAGCTACAGGTTTTACAATAAAGAAAATAATAAACTAATTAAATGATAAATTAAAATTATTATTAGTATAAATTAAAAAATAAAGAAAAATAAAATATAGACATACTTGAATCTGAAATTGGATTTTTTGAAGCTTCGACAAAATAGTTATTTGAGGTTTTTAAATAAAATGTTAAATGTTCATGATACTTTTCATCATATGAAGGTGGCTTTTGCGATTTGTAGCTAACAAATCTATTTGAGGATACTTGATAAATATCTTGCATTTGTTTGAAATAGCTAAAACAAAAGCAAGCAAAATAGTATTTATATTTCGAATCTGTTTCTCTTTGTACAATATAGGTTAGATTGGCGAATATGTGTTGAAATATTAGATTTTTGATACTCCAATCAATCTTGTCGATATAGCCGAAATAATCTTTGTTGGTTAATGCTGAAAAAAGAGTTTGAGTAAAGAATACCAATGAGTCTGAAGTAATTTGAGAGGTTTCATAATATTCATTTAGTTGTTTGGCCATTTCGAATTGTTCGTTAAAATATTTGATGATTGGATTATTATTTCTTCTTGATGGAACCAAGGAGGAACCACTGATTGATTGGGCCAATATATTTTGCTGTTGTTGTTGTTCTGATTGTGCTTGAAATGATTTTGCTAACTTTTCAATCATAAATCTAGTTTTAACCAAAATTAATTTAAAATTAATATCTAATATCTTTGGAAGATTTTGATCATTTGATAATTTCATTAAAACAAGTATAGTTGCTAAACCACTGAAATAATATTGAAGAATATCAATCTTTGTTAATGGTGTTGGAGGTGTTGATACTTCAAATGGTAGTGTAAATGGTAATGATGAGTTGTGTACATTTCTACCACTTTGAATTCTCAAAAGGAATGAATTGCATTCTTTTTGTGTTGGTAAAGGTGCGCTATCAAACTTTGAATTGTTCCCTCCAATATTTTGCTCCACAAATAAACTATGTTTTTCTTTAATTTCGATAAAACAGTTTTGATAAAATTCTTCTAATTTTTTTAAATTATCTTGGTTATCTTTATTAGTTTGTGTGGTTTCAAGTTTTTGCATGTTTTGTTGTTGTTGTAGTGGTGGTTGTTGCTGTTGTTGTTGTTGTTGTTGTTGTTGTTGTTGTTGTTGTTGTTGTTGTTGTTGTTGTTGTTGTTGTTGTTGTTGCTGTTGTTGCTGTTGTTGAATATTAAATTGCTGTTGGTTATTTTGTGGATAAATATTATGAGGTTGTACTTGTGGGCTATAATGTAAATAATTTTGAGGTTGTGGGGTGTATGGGTGTTGATATGGAGGATGTTGGTAAAATTGTTGGTTGGATAATTGCTGCAAAAATGGTTGTGTTGGTTGTGGATGAATTTGTTGTAGTTGGGGTTGCTGATGAATTAGTTGGATGAATGGCTGTGGAATTGGTTGTTGTGGAATTGGTTGTTGTGGAATTGGTTGTTGCTGTGTTGAAAAATAATGCTGTTGTTGATATTGCTGTGATGCTTCCTAATATATTTATATAATTAGTTAACTTATTGTAGATTTTATAAAAAAAAAAAAAATTTATTTTATATTTTATTATTTATATAAAACTATAGTTTATTATTGTTTATAGTTTATATAAAAAAATCTAAAATATGTATAAGCAAAAGGGCAGTATTAATATACATACTAAAGGAAGGTGGGGCATGATTCTATATATTTTATAATTATATATATTTTTTAAATTAAAGAAATATTAAAATAAATAAATATTAAAGAAATTATAATGAAAAAGAAAGGGTGTGGTTAATAGGTGCCACAACTTAAAGGAATAGTGTGTGTTAAGTTTTTAATTGTAATATTAAAAAAATTATTAAAAAAATTATAAAAAAAAAAAATTTTAATTAAAATAAATTTTTTTAAAAATTAAAATATTTTATTTTTTTCTTTTTTTTTTGAGTAAAAAAAATAAGTTGGAAACAAATAATTATAATAAAAAAAAATACTTAAAAAAGGTTATTGATTTTTTTTATAATAATAATAATATTATTTTTATATATATTTATAAATATTAATGTGAATTTATTTATTTCTATTATTGAAACACACAAATTTTTCTAACTATTTTCTTTTTTTTTTTTTTTTGATCAACAAAAATATTTTTTTAATTTTTTTCTTTTAAAAATTTTATTTATTTTTTAATTTTTTTTTTTATT